TTTTTTTTTATAATATTAGTGTTTATCAATATGATATCTAAAAAATTAAGAGGAAAACACTCTAAAACTACACTGTTTAAATAAAATAAAAAAACTCTTATTCCTACTTTAAAAATATGTTATTTTTGTCTTTTTCAATTCAAGTTTATTAAAACAATTCAATTTTGTAGTGTTTTTCCTCATAATTTGTTAAAGATTCAGCTAATAAACATATTTCTCTTTTTTGATTCATTCTTCTATTGATCATTACATAATTTATTAGTATAATATTTCAATTTTTATTATAATTGAAAAAAATACATTTATTTATAATTTTTGCTAAGAATATATCAATAAAAGACCACAAGTAAATCTTTTTATAAGGGCGAAGATTTAAAGAAAATAATTTTGTTTCATAAAAAATACTAATCTTCAACAATAAATTTTGCCCCCCCTAATTGAATTTCCTGGCTTTGTTCCTGCTAGGGTTGGCCACCATTCAACTCTGGCTTGCGCGGTTGCTCCACTACTTCAGGTGGCTTCAGGCAGTGACAGTTGATCTTTCAGAGACTTTGAGGCTTTCACTGAAGTGAAGACGCCATTGGCATGTCGGGTCCTTCGTCGAGATAGCCCAATTATCCCGTGAACCAAAATATCGTTATGTAAAAAGTAAAAAAAAAAAAAAAAGGTATGTGTTAGGGGTTGTGCTAATGAGAAAAGATGTAAATATTAACTAATTAAGTGGTGTGAAGTGGCAACTAATCATGGATTACTTGAATATCTTAACCCTTGAGTTAAAATTCAAGGCTTTTTAACATATTGTATATATATTAGGCTTTGTAAAGATTTTTTTTTTTTTTTTTCAATCTTAGGCCTTGTATTGGACTTGAAGTTGAATGATTAAAATTGCAATTAATCATCTAATCTTATTATTTCCTTTATTCTATTTCAAAACTTAATCTTTCACCATATTACAACATGGATGAAAGTCATGATCTAAAATGAGATGGGCGCAGGTCGAATTAGTTCTTTTAATGAATTACAGCAAGTGGCTTGGGTTTGTTGAGAATATGTTAGTTTTAACCTTGAGCATGGTGAGAAATTTATTCTAATTTGCATAAGGGCCCCTTATGTTGTATTTATTTATTCATTTGGAACTTTAGGGTTATATTAGTTAAATAACTTCTTAAATCAAGATTTGTGTCACATCAAAAGTTGAAAAATTATCTACAGCAATCGAAGTAACTTATACATATTAATTGTTGAAAGTTATATTAACTTTTTGAGGTGAGATATTAGCTAGACATTGACAGAGTACTCTAGGAGAAAGCTTTCATAATCGTCTTATTGAATCTAGCTTACATAAATGGAAAGAATCTGATACAATAATCAAGATACAAATACACAGAATCATATCAAAGATTGAATGAAGAACTATCTGGGATTATGCTTGGATTCAGTAGATCTTTCCTTAACACGCCCCCGCAAAATGGAGGAGCCATCAGCAACGCCAATCTTGGACTATAAATGAAGAAACCGAGTGCTAGAGAGAGCCTTGGTGAAACCATCAGCCAGCTGATCTCGAGATGGTATATGAACCACGCGAAAGTACTTGTTTATTAACCAAATCTCTGACAAAATGTAAATGAATTGCTATGTGCTTCATTCAGGAGTGAAGAATCGGATTACTGCTAAGATAAGTGGCTCCAAGATTGTCACAATATAGAGCCGGTGGAGAGGAAATGTTGAAGCCAAGTTCAGTCAACAGATTTTGAACCCATACCTTCTCAGATGAGGCAGTAGCAAGGGCACGATACTCAGCTTTAGTCGAACTTCGAGCAATAGCTTTTTGCTTGGTGGCTTTCCAAGAAATGGGAGTTAAACCCAAGAACAGAACATAGCCCGTAGTTGAGACAAAGGAGGTTTGATCCCTTGCCCAGTCAGAATCAGAAAAGCCATGGAGATTAAGACTTGGTTCAAGGCGAATCAGAAGGCTGTGATGGTTGGTACCCTTAAGATATCGTAGAAGTCGTTTAATTACCTGCCAATGAAGTTCGGTAGGGCAATTTAAAAATTGAGATAACTTGTTCAAGGAGTAGGTGATATTTGGACGTGTTAGAGATAGGTATTGCAAGGACCCAACAATCTGTTGATAAGGCGTACGATTAGTTAAGGAATGGCCGGGAGGTAAGGAGACCGAGGAAGCCATGGGGGTGGAAACAGGTTTAGCATCCTGCATGTGGGCTTTCTAAAGTATATCATGAATGTACCGATGCTGTGTAAGGAACAACCCAGCATGGGTAGGCACAGCTTCCATTCCTAAAAACAAGCCTAAGTCACCAAGATCTTTAAGAGAAAATCTGGCACGAAGACTAGCAACCAGAGCAGCAATGGCAGTATCAGAGTTACCAGTGATCAGGATGTCATCAACATAGACCAAAAAATAAAGAACCACACTAGAATTTCGAGAGATAAACAAGGAGCTGTCTAACCTGGAGTTGATGAATCCTTGAGAAAGCATGAAGGCTTTTAATTCTTTGAACTAGGCCCGAGGAGCCTGTGTCAAGCCATAGATAGACTTTCGTAGGCGGCATACATAAGTAGGATAATTTGCATCAACAATGCTTGGCGGTTGTCGCATAAATAGTTCTTCCTTAAGAGTCAGAAAAGCATTATTGATGTCCAGTTGCCGAATAGACCAAGAATTACTCACAGCAAGGGTGAGTTCCGTGCGGATGGTGGTGGGCTTAATTACTGGGCTAAAGGGCTCAAAATAGTCACAACCAGACTGCTGATGAAATCCTTTCACCACAACACGTGCCTTATAGCGCTTAACACTCCCATGTACCTTCCGTTTCAACCGAAAAATCCACTTGTAGCCAATTATGTTCTGGGTAGGAGAAGGAGGAACTAATTCCCATGTGCCTTGGTGAACAAGAGCAGTGTACTCATTGGACATAGCTTGCCTCCACTTTGGATCTTTCAAAGCCTGAGTTACGCACGAAGATTCGACAGGGCAAGACTGGGATGTTTGGTGGCAAGGAAAAGAGTTTTTGGCTTGAAGATGTTATTTTGAGATCGGGAACCATGGGGTGAAGGCGAGCGGGCTGTGGTGCTGGAGAAGATGAGGGCTCGGAGGTGGAGTTGGTGGGAGTGGCAGGCTTGGCGAGGCTATGGGTGGCAGTGGAGGTGGTGGGTCCAACGAGGGAAGTCGATTTTGAGAGGAGACTAGTAGAGGCAGAGGCGGGTGAGGAGAGAGGCGGATGTGGTGAGGATGATGGCGACAAGGACGGTTGGGAGGGTTTTGAGGTGGGATTTGTGGGGCTGGAGAGGAATGGGCTGGGGGGTTGGGCTGAGTGGGTATTTGTGGGCAAACAAGGAGGAAAAAGTGATGAGGCATCCAGTGGGGAACGATGGTGATTCATAGGCCCAGCACTTGATCCAATGGAGGGACGTGTTTCAAGCTTGTGGTGGCAAGTATTGGGCATGAACCAAGCTTCTGTATGGAGGGAGTGGGTTGACTCGGTGATAGAACCATATGGAAAGAAATTTTCATTAAAAACCACATGTCTGGAGTAAAACAAGTTTCAAGATTCAAGATCAAAGCATTTATAACCAAGATTTTCAACAGAGTAACCTAAAAACAAGCAACAACGAGACCTTTGTTGTAGTTTGTTGTTGTTATAAGGTCGAAGCCATGGGTAGCAAGCACAACCAAACACACGTAACTTGAGGTAGTTAGGTTTAACACGAAAAAGTTTTTGGAATGGAGAAATAAAAGAAAGAGTAAAAGATGGTAATCGATTAATAAGATAGACCGTAATAGTGACTGCATAAGACCAAAATTGCATTGGAAGACTTGCAGTGTCAACTACATGACGATTACGACGTTCACTAATACCATTGAGTTCAGGTGTGTAAGGAGGTGTTGTCAAATGTGAGATTCCATGTTCAACAAAAAAATTGCGAAGACTAATATATTCTCCACCACCATTAGAATGAAATGATTTAATGCGGTTAGCAAATTGATTTTCGACCATAGACTTAAATTTTGGAAAAATTAAAGACACATCAGATTTCTTTTTCATGGGATAGAGCCATATGTAGCAAGTAAAATGATCAATGAAAAGCAAAAAAAATTCAATCCATCAATTGAGGAAATAGGGGCAGGACCCCAAACGTCTGAGAAAATAACATCAAGAGGAGCATGACTTTGAATATGAGAATTATTAAATGGCTGTTTATGACTTTTAGAACATAAGCAGGACTCACACGACAAGGAAAAGTTTTTGTCTAAGAGGGGTAAATGACAACTGCTAATAATCTTATGCAAAAGCTTGGATGAAGGATGCTTAAGATGAGAATGCCAGTTTGAAGGAGAGACATGGTCACCCACTAGAGCAGTAGGTTGAGATCTAACATGCCATTCCTGTTTGGCCCTTGAAGCACTATCGCCTCTGTGCGATGATCCTTCACCTGAAAGAAGTTAGGATGGAATTCAACAAAAGTATTAGTGTTCTTGCATAGTTGGGAAACAGAGATGAGATTTTGAGAGGCCTAGGAAACACACAAGACATTAGTAAGAGTGACGGAAGAGTTGGGAATAGTCGTGTTACTTATGTGTGTAATCGCAAGGCCTAAACCATCACCAATTTGAAGTTCATTTGGGCCATCATATTCAGAGTGCAATGTAAGATTTGCCAAATCATTAGTAACATAGTTATTGGCACCAGAATCAATCACCCAATTTGGACCAGAACATTTACTAGTAGCAAAATGAGCCACTGGGACTTGATTTTCCACCCGAAAATAAGGACAACTATTGGCAAAGTGACCTGATTGATTGCAAAGCTGGTAGGCCATAGTAGATTTGGTGTGGTTGGGTTGCCAATTACTTATATGTCTTCGGTTGTGCTAATATCTAGGCTGAAAAGAGCCTTTTCGATGTCTGTTATATTGTGAGGGCAAGTGTGGGCCTGACATGGATTGATATGGAGCAGGATTAGAAGAAGCTCTAGAATGAAATTGGGAAGGATTATACCTTGGTTAGGCTGAGACATGGTGAGCCACCATTGGCATAGATCCCAGTCGCTTTTCTTCGCGGCGAAGTGCCTCTTCCTGTGCTAAGAGGCGATCTTGAAAATCTTCAAACGGCAGGGGTGTTTCACGGGCACAGATGGATGCACAAAACTCTCGAAACTCTGATCCAAGTCCATTCATGACATGAACAAAGAGTTCCTCGTCGGAAATCGGCCGCTGCATGTTTTCAAGCTCATTGGTATAGATTTGACATGATCCATGTATTCTGTTACGGTTTTGCCTTCGCTGCTCAGATTGTGCAAACGATCTCGAAAATCACATACCGAGATGTGGATCTGCTGGCATATAGCTTTTCTAATGGCAACCACACCTGATTCGAAGTTTGGGCAGTGGCAATCCATGGGGCAATGGATTCCGAGACTGATGTGAGTAAAGCATGTCGTAAGGCTTGATCTTGCCTTACCCACAGATCAAAGGGAGAGTTTGGAATTTGTCTCGGATTAGTAGGAGTAGGTGGACATGGTTTGGTGCCTTCAAGAAAGTCACGAAGTCAGTAAGTGGTCATTAAGGAGGTGAATTGTTCCTTCCAAGTGAGGTAGTTATTTGGAGTGAGTTTGAGTGGAAATTGGGCTGGAATAAAGGAGATAATTGTGTTTTTGTGCGTAGAGGAGTCATTGGAAGCTGTCACCACAACAGTTTTGCCAGTCATGGAGGAGGCTGATTGGGTCTTAATGGGTGTCTGGTCTTCCATGGCGAAAAAAAAAAGAACTCGTTTGAGGTATGGCTCTGATACCACTAATAAAGTATTGTAGGAAAAAGCTTTCATAATCTTCTTATTGAATGTAGCTTACATAAATGGAAAGAATCTGATACTATAATCAAGATACAAATACACAGAATCATATCAAAGATTGAATGAAGAACTATCCAGGATTATGCTTGGATTTAGTAGATCTTTCCTGAATAGACATTTGGCATGTATAGATGTCCAATTAATAGATTATTGGCTCTATAGGAAAATAGTCCTCTTGCACATGGTAGAAAAAACCCTAGCTGCATAGTAAGTCTTTTTAAGTCTTTCTTTTTTCTTTTTTCTTTTTTAGTACTAACCCCCCAGTATTTGGAAATCATATTGAGTCATAACTAATTTGGAATAAGATTGGACCCCATAATGAAGAAGTTAGCTCTCTTAGTACTTGTTTTTCTATTCACAAAGTTCAAACTTAGGATTTTATTTAAGGGAACTGAGTTTTTTCCATTTAGATCAACAAGTCATTGGTAAACTTCCTCTTTTTCTTGAAAAAAGGGTATGAGTTGTGATGGTTCTTTTTGTAGGTTTTTTAGTGCACAAAAGAACTACCTTATCAAACTCTTGGTTGCTTTTTGATTAGCTTGGGTATGAAGGAAGGGTTTTACATTTGTGATTGTAGTACTAATTTTTTATTCAATTGTTTCCATTAAGTTTCAATTGAATGAACTTGTTTCATGCAATAATATATTAGGATAGTGATTTTGTGGATATTTATGCCAGCATAACTTTGGTAGATTTATTAGGATGCCTTATTTGTTACTTTGAATTTTTTAAGGATTTTGGTTCAAAGATTCTATTTAAACACAGATTGTCCTAAAATATCATTCAACTATACAAAAGGAGAAAAAAGGAAGATACTAATTTTGAGGGATTGGATTCTTAATTATTTAGTACAATAGTAATATTTGCAAGGTAATATAATGAAAGGGGACTGTTTTACTACCAAGTTGCTTGCTCTTCCTGAAGTTGGTAAAAAAGCTCAAAAAATAATTTTTCTCTATCTTGTAGCTTTGTTGTTACTCGTATAGTCATATATCATTGTTTTATTTTAGGTGAATTATGTTGAAAAGAGGCTTAACTATCATATTTTGAATTTGGGTTTGGCTACAATATTATGTAGGTATTTTGTTTTTAACCCTTTAGACATATTAACTAGTTTAGTTTATGGCGTGATTATAATTCATTTGTGCCATATATAGGTCATGCTTCTTTATTTTTACATAATGTCTCTAAGGCTATTTGAATTAGTTGTTTAGGTATAGTTAATAACTGATAATTGATATCTAATGATTAATAATTATTGTTATTTATAGTTCAAAATATCTAAGGTGTCTTTGGTTTGGAGTTTGGCCAACAGCTTTCAACTATTGGTTCTACTTGAATGGATTAAATACTTTTAATTTTAATTAACAACAATCGTCAATTATCAAAAATTAACTATCAACTATCAACTATATTTAAAAGGTTAATCCAAACACCCATATAATCCATTTGAGTAGAACCAACAACTGATAATTGTTTGTAAAAAATTGAAACAAAACACTCCCTATATGACAAATCATGGATGTATTATAATCCTTCTATGATTAATATACTTTGGTGTTATTAAAAAAAGAAAAAGATTATTGGCTTCACTATTGAATTTATCAAAAACTATGCAAATACTCAAATCTAATTTTTAATTTAGGATGTTCAAATTTAGTTGTTTATTTTTTCTTTTTAAGATATTATTTAGTGCATTTATTTTTATTTTACTCTTATTATAAAAAAGATAATTACAATATATATTAAATAAGAAATCTTATTGAAGTAGGAATTAATTGGAAATAAATATGAAATTTTACCAATAAATAAAAATAAACATTTATTGGTATACATTCTAATTCAATATACTACACAATACATTCATTAAAAAATTAATATTTTCTTATATGAATTTAAAAGTATAGACAAATTTAAAAATATAATTATGTACACAGGATGTGGGAACTTATTGAATTAATTGTATTTATAATACATTTTTATAACTGAACTAAATGGATGTAAAAAAGTGTATCAAATAGACTATGTGTCAATAATTTTTTTAAATTATTACATTTCTATTTTATTTGAAAAAAAAATTTGACCTAATAAAATTTAACAAAGAGAGTAGTTAATAGGAATTGATTTTGACACTTATATATCATTCATAATAGTACTTATTTTCCAATATTGAATTGGAGCTTTATAATCTAGTCATCTGGGGAATAAGCTGGACTCTTGTAACTAATTATCTTAAGAAATAAGCAACTAATAAGGAAACGATATTTGCAAACTTTTTTTCTGGAAACCAGTATACTACAATTAAATAATTAGCATTAAGACAGTGCCTTTAATTAGAAATTTAGAAGAGGATGACATCGGAATCGTTTCCAAACGAGAAATAGAAATTATATATTCGAGCAAAGAGCCTTTAATTGGAAGCTATTATATATTGGAAACTTTTCAAAAAGAGTCTTTATAAGAATTAAGAGTACTGTTTTGTAAACTGATACAATCTATATTACAAAATAGCTTTTCAAAGAATTAATATTTATTCGCAGCAAAATAAATGTATGTTTGGTTGAAGGAATAGTTATTGTTTGACCAAAGATGAAATGAGATATGGAAACTGATTGAGGAGACTTTTTCATACAATATTACATATCATACCTCAAGAAAGTGATTTAATGATTAAAAACTTGAAAAAACTTGAAAAAGCTTGAGATTTTAAATTAGTTTAAATTCGAATCTTGAATCAGGTAGAAAGAGATTTAAGAAAAAAGAAAGTCTATTCCCTCTTGTATAATTTATTATTATCAGATGTACTAAAAACAATATTATATATATCATTTAATAATTAATTCTTTTTATTCTATTAAAAACTTATAATATTATATTTATCTACTTATTTCATGATATTATAAGTTGTAAATAAAAATTGTATTAAAAAAATTGTTCGAATGAGCATAATTAACATATACAGTAGCGAATTAGGATTCTCTGCTTTCCATTAATTTTCTTGTAACAAGTTGGAAGTTTAATGGAAATGATAAATAAAACATTCCTTAAGTCGTATTTGATTGGATAGAGTGCCTATTTTCTTAGCTTACAGGGGAGTTGATCACGGGACTCTCAACTAAACATGAAGATTATTGGGGGTTCACATGACCTTAGCTCAGGTTTGTTTTCTTTGTTTTCTGCATATTTATCCTCGTGATAGTAAAGTTATAATTCTTTTCATTGGAGAGAGGTAATTAACTAGCGCCGGAGGAATAACATATCCATTGGGAAGACTTTCTATTTTTGTTAAACTTAATTAGGGCACTGAATTTACCCTATTTGTACGGTTGACAAAAGGTTAACATATTTATAAGAAATTCGAAGCCCCACAAAAAAATGACTTGCTTTAGTACAAGTCATTAGATTCTTCTTAAAGTCGTCCATGAAGACATTATTGGCAGATTGATACATTATTTCAACTTTTGGTTTGTTGTAAAGATATGCAATAAGGCATTCATTAACTTTTCCCCCAAACTTTTTGGCTTTTTTTGAAGATCTAAATCCCTTTGCTTTTGTTTGTTTCTTTAAAGAAAGATTAAGTTTTTTGGAGTAAATTAAAGAAAGAATAATTCTTTCCTCGGTTGTTGTACTTCAACTAGGATTGATCCCTACGATACAATGCAGTCCTTCAACTTTTATTTTTAGCAATCAAGTCTCTCTTTGGAATTCAACACAATCAAGTACCTAGGCAACGCAATTGTGTCTAAACTTAATATTGAAGGGAGATAAGAAGATTTCCATGGCAAACAGTTTTTAATTTGCAATGATCCAAATTATTTAACCAAAGTCAACCAATTTAACCAGCTTTTGAATTGGATGAATTAGATAATATTTAACAAAAGTAATCAATTTAGTTCATTTACTGATTTAGGATAGTATAGTAATCAACCAAGCCAAACTAATTACTAAACTTCAATAGATTAATAAATTTTTAAAAAATTAATATTTGTTAACTAGATTAAAAAAAATTAGGTCAAAAAATACTACAAAACTATATCTCTCAATAAAGTCTCACCAGACAAGACAAAATAGTCTCATTTTGTAGGTATAATAAATACTATTGATTCCTGATTGAAGGACTTGGTCGCTAAAAACAAAAAATTAGGAGACTGAATTGTGTACCTAGGGAAAGTAGAAAGACCAATCCAGCATTTATACCATAGAAAACAACTTAGCAACAAAGGTGTATGCTGTTAACCGACAACTTATTGGTCCAAGTAGAAAGAGGTCGGTTTTCAGATTTCGAGTTTGGATTTTGTGAATGAAAAAACAAGAGTTGAGAGAGCTTCTTCTCTTATGGGGTCCGATGCGACTCGATTCGGATTAATCAAGCCCAATATGATTATTAAATACCAAGAAGTTAATACAAAAAAAAAATATTAGCTTAGTTTCATTATGCTTTCAATTTTTTTTAATAAAAAAATCGAGTTCATGCTTTCACTTACACATGTTAGTGCTCCACAAATCTATTCTCCGATTCATTTGGGCCCCTCCACCTAGCATCTTTCATCTATCTCAGCAACTTCTCCAGCAGACGTGTTCCTTTTTTATTGAATTTCTTTTCTTTTTTTAAATAAAAAAGAGACTAAGCATTCAAAAATTTGAGATGTTTGTGCTATGTTTTTCTTTTTAATGAAAGAGATGTTCTAAAGGTAAACAACAATGGCAAGCGCATTTATTTAATGCATCCGCAGAATACGCAAATGTCAATGGACCTAAATTTGAGTTACACAGTATATCTATTGGATGTATAGGTGAATGCAATTTAAGAAATTATATAATATCCAAGTGTTGGAGTACAAGATCTTTTTTTCTCAGTGCTTTGGAAAGTGCTCTCCCCATTCAGGACAGTGACAAACATGAATTAGTCGCTGGATATATAATTAATGATACTGCTATCAATTAGTTTCAAATTGTTAAATAAAAAATTTTATCAACATCTAATTTGTAATGGTTTCAAAAAAAAAAAAATTAAGTTTATCAAATACCTATCATTAACATGCAGTTTAAGTAAAACTACTAACTGCTACTCTTAAATTATTATACCAAACAAACTTAAAAAAAAAAAATTAATTTTCTACAAACTGCAATGATCTTGACTTTTACTTTACTAAAACTTAGTTTAGGAATATTGGGTTGTAATTGTAATTGTAGATTTTTCAATTTTTTTTTTAAATATCTCAAATATATATAGAATATATAAAATAAATCTCATACAA